GAGATGATTTTGGCTGGGACGTTAGGCGGTCAAGAGGTGCGTGTGGTTGACCAGTGTCTTCAGTCCAAATTTTGACTGGATATATAGTTTTTCCTAGAGGCACTTGGCGGGCAACATGTACCTGCCATTCCAGAGGACCGAGTCTTGATTTCGAGGTGGACGGAAAAGGAACTCCCGACTTTGCTCGAGAAAGGCATGTTGAAAGCTCCGAAGCTACGTTTGATGCCTGGTGGACTCGAAGGTATGTTTCCCTTCTAGTCGGCATAGTCTTTGCTGATTGTGTTACAGATGTTCTGCAAGGTTTAGAGATTATGAAGAGCGGTGCTTATAGTGCGGAGAAGCTCGTTTATACACTTAAATAGAGATTAAGAAAGATCAAGTTGTACGCACTACTGATCATTTGGACGCACCAAGAAAACAATGTAGACGTTATCCATCAGATCGCGCTCAGAGTAAGCTTCAGTGACCTTGTGTCGTGTGTGACCAGAACAGACAGTACCGAAAAGTCGCGCATTATAGACAGAGAAAGATGGCATGCCATCATCCAAGGGCGAGTGAAAGTTCCCAAAAGCAAAATGTCTAAGACTGAATCCAGAAGTGAGCGAGAAGATCAGCAAAGACGAGACCATTTCTACCATGAAATGTGGTGAACACAAGTGCCGTAACCCTAACCTGAGGGTAGTTTGCTTGCGCATGTTTATGGTCTGAACCTTATTTCTGGTTTGCACGGCGACCACGACACGCGCTCAAAAAATTAAGGTAGGCCGGCGCCTGCCCCCTCCCCGCACGATCTAAGGAATCAGGATGGACCCAGCGAAATTAGCGAAGCTCCAAGCGGCGGCGGCGGCGAACCGGATTGGAGGCAAGGGCACTGTACGGAGAAAGGTTGTACGCAAGTCAAAGCCCGCCGCCGCTCAGGATGACAAGAAGCTCCAGGGTGCACTCAAAAAGGTTCAGACCGATTTGTGCGACGTTCCGGATTTGGCTGATATTTTCGCAGCTGAATGTGCAACCGATCGCCGGCGTCGAAGAGGTTAACATGTTCCAGGAGGACGGTAATGTGCTGCACTTTGTCGCTCCGAAAGGTGTGCTCTAGTGATCACCCTTTTCTTGCCCGATTTAAAACTGCCGTAGTGCACGCCTCACTTCCCGCCAATACACTCGCGATCTATGGTACCGCACAGCAGAAAGAATTGACAGAACTTGTCCCCGGTATCCTCAACCAGCTCGGCCCGGACTCCCTCGCATCTCTACGCAAACTCGCAGAGAGTTACCAAGCCATCCAACCGGGGGGTGCTAACGGTAATGTCTCCCATCTTTCTTCCTTGCCGTTCTAATCTCCTTCAACAGCACCGGGCGCACCAGCTTCAGCAGACGACGACGACGACGATGTACCCGATCTTGTCGACAACTTTGATGTCGAGGGCGCAAAGCTCGATTAGTGTAGTTTGTAGTGTTTGTCAATTGTTCTTCTCTCTTGACTTTCACTCATCTCTTCACGCAGTGTAAAAGCAGAAATGCATTTGTTTCTTTCGGTATTGCTCGGTGGTAAGACGGATCCTCAAATTGCTACTATAAACGCTGGCTTGTGCCTAGTTACTATGTATATCCTACGTGCTTTCCAAAGGTACAGATGCTCCCGCTGATGAGTTTAGCGACGCTTGTGGTTCTACGCCGATGCCAAAAAAGCCTGTGGTCAGAGCACCACAATGAATATGCTACTTGACGTGACACGCGCACCGATGGCAGTTGAAAGGGAGTATCATGCAAGTGCATCCCATATAGAGGAACCTATAAAAGGTGTTTAGAGACTATGTCCTCTGTGGCGCAATTTCTCAAATGTTTGCCAAGCATCCGCTTCCAAGTGCTCGAAAACTCTGAGACAAAGTTGAAGGTGAAAAGGTAAGGAGCTGACCGTAAATACCGCGCGTAACGAAGCGAATTCAGTTCCTGTACTTCCTCTTCAGCCTGGTAATGGGTAAGCTTCCTGCGAAGTACTCATAAATCGACAGAGAAATCGAACCAAATATCACTCAAGCGTGTACGCGATATGGACTTTTCCGGTATTCTACAATAAACACTGGTTGACCCTCGGTCCTCAAAGACCTTGACCAATTGGAGCAGCGAGACTTACTAGATGTCTCCTACAGAAATTTCCTCATTGAGTTGTTCAATCTCCGGTGCCCCCGCCTATGATTTGTTTGACAGGCACTGCAAGGTGTGTCTTCGTCAAAATTGAGTGTTCGATGTACACACTCATGATCAACTTCAACCAGCTCAAACGACACGTCAAGCAAGGGACTTATCATGCAATCTGATTCCGTTCCTCCTAAGTGGTTGCTACAGGAGCTGGAAGAGCACTCTTCAAAGTCCATCGTATAGAATTCCCAAGTAAGTCTTCGTTTTGTTTCAATTCGGAGACAGATGCCATATTATCTTCAACAGCATAAACTGTTTACCGGTCCTTGACAATGGCAATCTCACGCTGAGAGTTCAAGTTGTTTCTAGGATAGCAAGCCGGCGCGTAGCCATCATAGCAATGGTGGATCAACAAAAAGCGTTCAACTGGTCAGGTGATCGCATGACTTGTTTACTTCGGCTGCTCTTCATCATACTATATCGAAAACCCAATCAACGAAATCCCTCAGCCCTATTAAACACCGTCACCCATCTCGACAGCTCCTCCAGATGGCCCTGAATGCTCCCTCTCAACTCGCCAGCAGTCACCTTCCTTTTCTGTACAGTCTTCTGCAGCTGCCCGTAGAGCAAGTCAATCTGACGTAGATCGTTGAAGAGACGGTGTCTTCGCTCCCGCTTCAACACGATTTCATCTGTAAATTCAAGATGAAGATGTGTAAAACGCCGAAATGTTTCGGACGTACTGTTGTATTTGTTGCGCCAGAGCATGACCTCTGGGGAGACGATCTCGTCCTCATCGGTCACAATGGCTTGACTGCGCCCATCTGTAGTAGAGATGTCATCCTTGATGACTGTGTCAAGGCGAGAAAAGGAACACGTATTACTAGCGCTTCGCGTGTGCGTCTGGAGATACTTCTTGAGCTCTTGAAAACGCGAATATAGCTACCTGTCATTGTGTGCAGAAAGAAACTGCGCGCACCATTAAGTGTGTTCTCCGTATCTGTATATACACTGTGAGTTGAGCACAACAAACTTGATCGACGAGCAGACGGACAGTGAAGTTTCTCATTCCGAGCTACATTGTCTTTGTCGACCATTTCCTGCTTTACAGATTTGACTTCCTCTCTGAGGTCTTGATTCGTCCGCTTGAGCATTTCGATTTCATCTGTCAATGCAGAGTTGTTGTTCTCCAGCGTTGCGATCCGGATTTCGTTGGCTGCCTGGTTGTCTTTCCAATCTGGCGAGTCCAGGTCAGCGATTGGCATCAGAACGACGACTTGAATGACTGACCGGCATAAAAGCGTCGTTTTTGTTCTCCGAGTTCTAGGAAAAACGCAGTCGTTAAGTCCGAGCCTCTAGCGCTCGAGGAGATTTCATACCAGTGTTTATGTTTTCTTGTGCGATGAGTAATTTCTTGGTGTGAAGGTATGCACTCTGGTAGTCTTCTTCCGTCCAGCCGTCCTGGTCTGTGAGCGAGGAATATCAGGATACAGTCCTCGGAAAATTGCTACCAAAAACAAACACACCGGGATCACCGATATGAACATTTCGGAACGCCTGACTTGGCGGCGGAGTTGGGCACTGTCGGGATGGCGCCCGAGTCGTGGCACGGATGGGAGTCGTAGGAACGTGTGTAGGCGAAAAGGCCTACCCCATATCTACATCAGCATTTTCATCGAAAGCTTCGTGAAGCGCACCTCATTGTCAATGTCCATGGTCGCTTCAACTTTGGTTGGTGGTCTGGGAGGCGTCACTTGTCTAGGCCTCGGCGTAGCGGACGGACGCTTCCGTTCTTGTTGTTCCATACGTCGTATAACCCGACGTATCATATCCTCAGAGTACTCCGCATGATCCCGATGTATAGTCTGGACCAAAGCATCCGTGTGTCTACTGCAAGAGAGTGACTTGTTGGCTTTTTTACACGGAAGACACGCGATGCGGGTTGCTTGGCTTTTGCAGACTTGAGGATCGCGACAAGCAGTACAAGGCTATTAGACAGTGAAACAAAGACCACGAAGTGAACATGAGAGCGAAGAACGTACTGTTGTAGCGCCGTAGCTTTTAATCCACTTTTTCTGATGGTACCAGTTTTCGTATAGTTTGGTCTTGGTTTGGTGAACGAGTTGCATTATTTTCGCTTTTTTCATTTTGTCGATGGTTTTGCAGGGAGAGCGAGGGGATTTTTGAGAACGAGCCATAGCAGCTGTGAATACGGGGGCAGCTTCAATCACCGTAATATATATATATCAATCCGCACCGTGAAAGCGGGAATAAGATTTCTCAATTGAACGCAGATCGCTCCTATCAAGTACGGGTCACCAGGTAACGGCTTTTAAAGTGACTGACCAGGGAAAACGACAAAGGCAAACGTGGTGGTCCATTTTCGAGAAGGCAGCAGTTTTGGACAAAGTCGAGACGTACAGTACTCGACGACTTGCAGCCTCCGTAATTCATCCTTTAAGGCAAGCGAAGCCTGAGGTTACTACGGCGCATCATTCATAACGGGACTATTGATATGATTCTTGAGCTTCTGATAGACAAAGTAGTAGAGAGTTTACCGTTTTGGTCAAAACGTGCCAGGCAATCGCCACATAAAGCCCGAAAACATGTCGAACCAAAAGTTTGCCGACTGTCTGGAGAGTCTGTCCAGTACATACTCCGTGCTTTGCTTAAACATTCTGAAGGTGCGTGGCCGCCTTGCCGCAAAGCAGGTCTAATGAGTGATGCATCCAGGAGCGGACGGAATTCCAGCCGAAGTTCTTGTTGAATTGCAGATCGAACCATTCGAAGTCAAGTCAAACCACGTGCTCGATTTCGATCATGCAGCAGCTGAGAAAAATAGAGTTTCTACACTTTCCGCACGACGCCGGCAAGATTTGAACTTGCGCTCGGAAACCGAAACAGATAACAATGACACCCAGTTCGAATCTGTCGCCTTAACCACTCGGCCACAGCGCCTCGGAAATGTGGCGTCACTCACAGACATGGCCTATTGCGTGTGCAACTGGAGAAATGAAAGTGCTTCTATGTTCTTGCAGCGCGCGCCACTGTCGTAATTTACGTGTATATCCTGATGAACACTGATCACTCCTCTCATGAGTTGACTCGCTTAATCAAGGATAAATGATACACCATTTTCTCAAAGGTAAAAGTACACTATACGAGTACACTTGTAAAGATACATTGTTTATCACATAAGCCAACTACAATCATTCGTCGCTTGAGTCAGTAGCTCAACAGCTTGCCAAGCCCCAAGCTTCCGTACAACTTATCGAGACCCTAATTGAAGGTGAGCAAGTAGCCGACGAGCATCATGGCATAAATCGACTGACCATAGCCGTGACAATGCCCTTCAAGAGACCCCCCAGGCCAAGGCCGTTGAGGAGACGTCCAACGAGATTGAGAACCCCAGCGAGAAGTAATCCGACACCGCCCACGATCTGTGTGAGCGGCGCTACAAGTTCGCGAAGGAGACAATGAGCGATAATGTCGCGCAACCACTGCTACGGGGAGATAAAGACGTACATGCAAGGGCATCCAACAACGGTCCAAGATCCTTCTTTGCTTTGGGAAACGCGTCGAGCTTATTCTTCGCCCACTCGATCGTACCGCCTACTTCTTCGAGCAGCTACATTGCATGTCAATCCCAAAATTACATATGTGCAAGGCAGGAAAACATACAACTTTGAGCGCCTCCGCAAGACGCTGTTCCTGTGGGCTCGCAGTATGATCGCGCACATGCCTTGTCGCCTTGTTCGATAGCCGCTTGTCTGGGTCAGCGCCGCGAATCGCGCCATATGTCTCATTGAGGAGCTTCTCGGCCTGCTCAAGCAGCGGCTTCACCTGCTGCACAAGCTCGTTCTCGTCGCGCTCCTCGTCTGGACGCGAGAACATGGCGTCGATGTGCTACAAGTTTGACCAATTTAATTGGGGAAAACGATGACGAAGAAAAAACGTACTTGTCTGATCATCTTCGTGAGCGGTATGACTCGCGAGTTGGCGTCCTCGATGAGCGCAGAGAGCCTCTCTGCCAGCTCGTTGTCCATCTTTATTTCAGCCTCTGTGCGCTCGTCCTTGGGATCCTTTTCCGTGTCGAGTTTCTGATCCTGGTCCCCAACGTTGCTGACAGAGTCGCTCGGATCTAGTTCGCGTCCAGCATGGGTAGCAGGGGGAGGTGCGACGTCGGTCATGTTATCAGGGGCGGATGGAGCGGCGGAGTAGTATTTAGTAGAGTCTGTCGTAGTGTTTGGCGGGATAATCGAGTTTGCTTGATCCACTGGAGGGAGAGAGTCAGCGGGTTTTTTATTCAAAAGCAGGGGGCGGAGCCAGTCGGTATTTAAGTACCACCCTCGACCGGATGACATTGGAGCATATGACGAGGTGCCACTTCATATGAGGATGTGGGACTTATATATGGGGTGAAGACGTAGAGGTGATGTCGTCAGGAACCGAGTTATGCTCTAAGAACTGAGACTTAGACGCAGAAAGAAATAGAGACGATTCCGAGTCATCCATTTGTGATAATAGACGCTGTATATGAGCATTGAAGCTTGATATCGTCCTTGAAAACGAGATATAAGAGTTATTGTTGTCATTGCGACGGGTGCATATACTCCATTCCAGCTCGAATCGGTTTTAACGCGCGAATCACTGTAACGCATGACGGAAAGATGACGAGCAGGCTGCGTCTGTGGCGTAGCAAGGTCACTGCGCAGTGACAGAGTGTACATGCGCTAGTTGGGCAAATGAGGATACAAGAAGATACATCGGAGATACGGCCCGATTCAAATGGAAAATCCGAACACTGCCTTCGAGTCTGGTTTATAACAAACCCTATAGTGAAATTACACGCTACACATCAACAACCCACTGTACAGAAAACAGATTACACGCCTCGATTCAACGCTTGACCTTCTTATTTGTAGGTCCTTGGAAATCAAGCGGAAGTGGCCCAAGAGGCTCTCTTGCTCCCCCCATATTCCCCATAGTTGAAAGTCCCATCCCGGGTTCAGGTTGGCGCCTGGAGATATATCAGCACACACTCCTTCATGAACAGACTAACTTACGGCATACCATCCACGCTGCGCTTCAAACCCGCCGGGAAACGGAAGAAACCCGTTGGCGTGTCCGGCCGCCGAGCGCACTGTGATGCAGTTGTGTCCGCCTGCTGCTGCTGCATTTGCCGTTCCTTTTCCAATAGCGCCTGCTCTATCGAGGCAACCCGATTTGTGCCCGTCTTGGAACTAGAGGGAGGTTTATACGGCACACCAACGATGCTATTATCGACGTTTTCACCTGTCCCTTGGTCTCGATTCGTCCGTGAGTGTGAATCGGAGGATGGTTTGGACGATGCGTCAACAAAGGTCTTAGCTGCACTCGCTTCGTTCTGCTGCAGCACTCTTGCAATCTTCGCGCAACGTTCTGCACTTCTTCGCGCCTTTTCCTCCTCAGGACTTAACGCTGGAGCCTGATGTCGTTGAGGAGCGGGTTCCTCGCGCTTGAGTGGAGCGCATCGTTCCCCAAGGACGCTTCGGTCAACATCCGGAGAAGGTTCATATGAAGAAGGCGCGATTGCCTCGTCCATTGTAACATCTTCACCTTCGGGAATAATGGGCTGCCCAAGATCAGCCTCCAACTCCGCGTCACAGAAGCCGTCGTCAGACATTTCATCGAAGAGATCGGGTTCATTGGTGGCGATAGAAGGTAAAGCAGAGGTGGAGGCTTGCGGTACTGGTTGTGGGGGATGCTGTTGTATTGATTGTGGAGGAGGTGGGGGAGGGGAAGGTCGCTGTGGCTGCTGATTGGAACGGTGCTGCTGTTGAGGCTGAGGCTTTTGCTGCTGAGGCTTTTGCTGCTGCTGCTGCTGCTGAGGCCGGTGCGGAATTGTCGGTTTCTGATCAAAATCGCACGGTTCTTGAAATTCCGGGCGTCGATGAAGTTTGGTTGTGTCGAGTGTCGGCTAAAAAGTGTTTAGAAAGGTGGTATCGGAGATGGATAGATTATCGCACCGATGGAATCTTCACTTTGTGTATATCCCTCGTGTACACCTTGTCGTATAAACAGTTTCCCATTATGTTCCCAAACGCCCTCAAGGCCCGCTTCAGTCCGTCGGTTACCGCCTCTTTTTTGCACTGGTTTTGATTTCAGTAGGCGTCAAGTAGAAAGAGAAGAAGCGTACCTTGTCAAGAGTGGCCGATTTGCCTTTCGAGTTCTCCGCTGTACCGTTTCCAACGTCCTCGTGGAACACGCCCGTACGGACCAGTGTTACCCTCACCACCGCTGTTACATGCATGGCGACACGACCCTGTTGGTCGATATCCATGAAGTCGGTAGTAAGAGAGACGATGCTAGAGTTCCAACCATCGTATCCAAAGACTTCGTTAGCCAAGTTGATCATCTTCCATCCCTCGACGTATGTGAGTTTCCCTCCTCCTCCTCCGCCACTGCGGGTGGAGATATATTCAGGACCGAGCTTCTTCTCGAGCACTTTTTGAAGCTCATGCGGTGAGTATGGTGGATGAGACCATGTCGAAGGCATTGGATTGGAGGTTCCATGCATAGTTGGACTGGAGGCGACTTGGCCAGCAGTTGTCAATTAGAATGTTGATTTGGGTTAGTCATGTTGGCCTGAGCTTCGAATTGTTGTATGACGTGTCCACTAAACGTTCCCGCCATTCAGCGTGCTCAGAGTCTGCGCCAAATAACCAAGAAAAAGATACGACAATGAGCAGATGAGAGTGAGAAACAAAGGTGATTGTGACGAGTCACATATGAGCGTGTTTGTGTCACCTGATCGCCCTTGCCCGAGCCGCCGGAATCAGTGACTCACAGTCGTGGCTATCAAAGTTATAGAGCAAAGTGCATTTAATGCTATACTACGCGAGGACACAAGAGGCAACGTTTTTAAAACGGCGAACGGGTCTTTACGCCGGCTGAAGAGGGGCCCAGGCTAACATCAGAGCCAACAGGCATCGTTTTGCGCACGAGAACCCTCGAGCTGGAATGGGGGACAACGATCTATCGGAGACAAGTCAAGATTATGGAGCGCCCAGTATTATCAGTACCCACCAAATTTGTGTAGAGGACATTGTTTGGGGGGCGAATGATAGCTCTTTGCATGCAAGTGGGACCCGTCAAGACGAGCTCGACATTACCAGGGTGGTAGAAGCTACGAGTCATCGACAGCCCGGAACGATTTACACGCAAGATCACTCCAGCCATTAGAGAGTATAGTCGACGAATGACATCCGTTTCACATGCAAGTGGCTCGACACGGTGAGCTAGGCTTTACCCAGAGCATAGGGAAGCGAGCTATCGAACCATGTCGACCTAAACAATTTACATGCGAGTTCACTCGAGCCGATCTTGGATCTTTTGCTACTCGTGAGTGAAAATGGTGACTTGAAAGGAAAGCAGGTACGCACGAGCACGACGTGCGATATAGTGATCTGAGCCGAACGACGAACTTTTACATTCCAGCGGAGATCTTTCAGCGAGCTGTCGTTTCCCACGTCCGGGAAGAAGCGTCGAGCCGATGTCTCGAGCAATGCATTTGGCAATGTAAGGATCGTTCCAGGCATAGCATTTACATGCCAGCGGGGAACATCACAGCGAGCTAGTCGTTTCCGTTGAAGGGAAGAAGCCTCGAGCTGTTGCTCCGCCAATACATTTGGCACGCAAGTAAATACGATAGATGGTGTCCTAGGAAGACGTCAGGATTATCTAGACAGGAGCGACGTTCGTCCACATACCGGGTTGAATTACAGAAAACATATGGGGCGGAGATCTAAGTCGGCATCATAGCTCGTCAAGAGCTACCTGTAAGACAACGACGTTAGACGAGGAAGATCATAACAAAGGCGAACGACCCATAAAACCGTGCTGGTAAAAGGCATAACGGCTACCCACCACACCGATATGACCTGGGTGGGTGGGCATGAGGGAGATGCGACGTGGAT